TCAACACGTTCAAGGAATGCATTAATCAACACCGCCACTGGGCTGGCATGCCCATTGTTTAACCGTGCATGCTAACGGACGCGAAAGCAGCCATATGAATGTGGAGTTCCACCATGCTGCAAGAAACAAAACCCTTTTCACCACCGGCCCCATGCACCATATCCGACTCGACTCTTTCAATAGAAATCGTTCTCTCCTGTATGCGTGCTAGTTTATGGACTTGCTTTCTGCAACAGTCAACCAGAAACAAAGACGCTTTACAGACCAGCTAAGTTTGACAAAAGCTGTAGAAATGCCTTCTGCAGATATGAAAACTTGCAGCCTTCCAAGAGATTTTTTTCTTTGCCTCACAAAACAGATGCTGCTGTGAAAGGCAAAACAAAACAAAACAAAACAAAGCAAAAAAAAAGAAGTCCAAGCATCTATTTGTGTATGTAGTCAGATGTGACAGCAACATACTGCATCACCAGCAGGGGCCTGTGCCTGGCCTTCTGCTCCACACTGGGCTTCATTTTCCTCCTGGGTAGTTCCCTAGATAACCGTCCTGTCAGGATTTGACTCTCTCCAAAAGCAGCGAGGGATGAAATGTCCAGATGCTGGAAGGAAGGGATCTGCTACAGCACCCACAGAACCCAGGCACACATCTCTACCTTTGTGGACCTGAACACTTAAGGCTTTCTGGTGTAATCTGACCCAGTAGGTTGTGGCCTACAAGGTTCAATAAACATTAATTTTGGTCATGAGATTGCTGAATGTCAAGGTCCTAACTCTGAATGAGTAAGGGATACCATTTCTCATTATCCTTTTGCATATGTTTCCTCTCAGAGGCAGAGTGATCTCGGTAGAGGTTGCACTTGCTGGGAACAAGGGTTAGAGGGCCGTGCCCCTCCCCCCCCAGAGTGGTCCAGTTCTAGTGATTTCAGTGAGCCCCCAAGTTAAAGTCCATCTAGCCTTACCTCCCCACCAGCTCTAGCTCTAAACATTTAAAACTAAGTGTTGTAAACATTTTAAACTAAGCCAAAAGTGCAGCAGGGAGAACAAATCTGATCCCGTAAGTATTTGCAAAGAGCTCTTTGCAGAAGTCACTGCACCAACCCTCTGGCCTGGAAATGCTAAGCCTCGACACAGTTCCTATATGAAAATGACTCAGGCGACTTTCTCCTTCCAGTTCGGAAGCAGATCTTTCTCCCCAGCAGAGCACAGTTCGAGGAGAGCAGAGGAACACAGGATGCTGGCAGGGTTCCTTCTACTGACTACCAGCACTGAGCGTCACTGCCACCAAAACACGCTGTGACCTTTCTCACACTCTGTCACCCCTGCCTAATCTCGCCCCTCCCATAACCTCCCATGAGAGGATGCCAAAGTCCTTCTTCAGGTACCTTTCTGAGCCTTCAGAGACAGCTCTCGGGCTGAACAGCTGGAGGAGGGGGAGGGGGATTGGGTGCGTTTCCAGAGAAAAATGGTGGTGTTTCCCAAGAATTATGAGGACAGGATGCAAGGGGCAGAAAGAACTTAATCAATAAAGGCCTCTCAGTCACAGGGGCCAGAGTAACTCAGAGATCAACATCATGCCGTGTATTGTAATTCGGCCCCCCTACATGTGAGATTTAATATGCTCCCATCTGACCACAGGTCACAGGGCGTTCGTTACTCAGGCTCCAAAGCGTAATGGGAAGCTGTGGAGAACACGGAGATGGAAGAACAGAACATTCTCTCTCCCAGGGGTTCAGGGCTGAGCCCCCATTCCCTGCCAGAGTGGGCCGTGATCACGATGGAGGGACCGTCCAAGTGGGCCAACGTCTCAAGAGCTGTGGGCACTGCATTGAAATCTGGAGCGTGCCCTCATCCTATACCAGGGTGAAGAGAGAGGAAGGTAAGTACAGGAAAAGATCATCTGGTTTTCTAGCTGACCAAATACCTAATCAATTCTAACTGGTATAAAACCATGAAGAGGTGAATATCCTTTGCTTAGATTTAGATCCCTGTCTTGGTTTCTGTTCGTCCCAGGCTTCCCGAGGAAGCTTTTTATTCATGTGCTCTTCATCTCTCATTTCATGAGGTGAGTATTCCTTTTGTGGATGATGTGTCTACTAGATTTATCTGGTGTCCAGGAGCATGAGATAAAACTTTTCAGCTCTACAATGATCCTGTAGGACAAATTTTGATAGATCTCCTTATTGTTAAGCAGTCTTAAAAACTGTAGTCCCCATAAAGAAAAAAAAAACAAAACAAAACTGTAGTCCCCTTGCATTTTGCCATAAAATACAGATTCACATTTACAAAACAGCTTAATTATAAGATAAACTCTTTTTACTGTTATCAGTTCTATTACTATTTATTCAAAATATCAGTAACATTCTCCTACTATGCATACATAACTTTTTAAAAGTTAGTGCTGTGAGTCCAAAGGGAAGAACAACTTTTGGATCATCAACCAAAAACAATCATTAAATAAGTCCAATTACCTGTCAGGTTTTCCTTTTCAGATAGCTTGACGAATGGGAACGAGCCTTAAGGTATAGCAGGGCAGGATTCTTCTTCAGCCTTATTATGGTTACGACCAGGACCAAACTCACACAAATGCAGCCTGAGCGCTAGAAAACCAGTTCTACAGAGTGATTGAGAGGCACCCATCCCCCACCCCCAGCTCTGGTTTCTTCTAGAAATTCCACCATTAGCTATCCTGCATTTTCGCCCAAGGTTTTCAAGCCAGGTAGAAGAGATGGGGAGAATTCTTTTCCTTGGAGAGAATTTACACATCGGTGTTGATGATGAAGGGGAACGTGGTTTGTATCTGTGACTGGATATCAATCAGCAGGGGTAGCACTTTCCAGAGAGAAGGAAAACCACAGTTCTGGTCGTTTACATCTTGCAGATACCACAGCACACAAGTGAATGTGGGAAAGACTACTGAAAACTCCAAGTAGCTACAAAAAAACTTTCTTATTCTAATGTCAGAGGCTGAACTCTTGAATAGCCTGCGGACATTCTGAATACAAGAGGGCTTCAGAATTTTGGGAAGCTTCAGGGCGCCTTTGTTTCAGGGAGGCAAGGGAAAAAGAACACGGGAAGACACTCAGGATTTAGTTTCGACCAGATTAAATCATTCACAAAGATAAAATGAGATATTTCAGTGGCTCTAAGAAAGCCTGACAACTAAAAGCTCACTTTAGTCATTTAACAAAAGACTAGCCAAAAATATCCACGAGAAGAATGTACTGAGAAAGGTGGAATTGAACCTTTTCAATTGTGCCTCTAGAAGACAGAATTTTAAGTCAAATAACTCTCACACAATGAATCAAAGAGAAAACAGTGCGACTAGCCAGGAAAACGTCCCTAGCAACCACGGGAGAGTGCCCTCGGAAGTGCGACGGAGCGCTACCCCTGCCACCTTCCAAGGACACCACACACTCCTTGCGGGTGGTCCCTCCGCTTGCCTGGTCTTCATGGATCTTCCCCTTTTACTAGAAACCACCACTTAAAAATAAGCTCCTGCTCTTGCTGTCTTTCCGTCTCTCCTAGGTGTCACACAATATATAATCTCCAGAAGGACTTGTAATATACTGCTGATACGAGTGATTTATCGCAGGCCACTTTTACTTAACACCATTAATTCCCAATCCCCAACAAGTGTGACTTGGGATATCCAGACTTCCGTGTCCCTGTGAGATTGGATGGGTCCTACTCTTCCATAGCTTTACCTTGCAGGCATTATTTTATGAATTAAGGATACTTGTTGGAGGAGGTGTGTATAGGTACATCAAAGTGTTATAAAGCAAATCATTTTACATTAACTAAGGGAGCTTTCTAGTAAAAGAGCCATTTATATGAAATGAAGGCTCTTTTGGTATTGGTCACGACTATTTAACTCAGCCATTTTGCTAGTCTTTACTCATGTTCACTTTTCAAGAACTCTTCAAAGCAGAACAAAATGTGTGCTACTTGATTTACAAAGCAACGTTCTTAGTTTCCAGGCCACTGACTTAGGGATTTCTGGGGGGTATTAAAGCACCATAAGTATTAGTTTTTTGAAATCAGTTTTAATACAGCACAAAAGAAGCAAATTCAACTGAGGCATGAATCATTTTCTCTTAAGCAGGAAACAACATCTGAATGGATTAATTTTAACATTTCTCAAGGACAAGAGACAACATGCTTGCAAGATTTTCCTACCTCCAAATCTTGCAAACAATCTTCTTTTCATAATTGAAGCCTGTGAGAGTTTCTTTATTTGTTAAATAGAACCTAGGAGGGTAGAGGACTAAATGTCTGAACAATCATGCTCTCATAAATTCATTACAAGATAGAGGTCTCCGAACTATGTTCCAGATCTCCAAGTAAGATAGTCTTCATCAAGTTCAATACTATAATAGCTGGCTTTTCAGAGGCATCATAGGCCTGGCAGAGTCCATTCTAGAACTGATAATTCTAAGTGACATAAATGGGAAAGGGGTGGGTAGTGGGGGTGGGGGCATTTGATTTACAAAGCAGAAAGCATTTATCAAAGTAATATTTAAACTTTCCAAATAGACTTTTGTATTATTTGGACTTCATTGTGAGATAACAAAAATTATGTATGGCTAAGTATATTTTCAGGAGATTTTCTGATACCTGATTGAATCAAAAAGAAAACTCTTTTCTTGTAAATGATTCCTTATCATTTTAAATCTTTAATTCCTTCAGAAACATATTGTTTATTAGTAATGCCTTCACTCTGCTGTCTATTTTCTGAACTTTATGATTCATGATTTAGTAAGACAAAAATCTCATGACAATGGAAGGACATGAAGGGCTGGTTTTCTTTCCTATGTAATCGATCTGTCCCCTTTGACAGGCAGTATGATTAACGTTTTTGCGTCTATATTCCTACTCCCCATCTTTCAACATACTTTTTGGATTGAAAAGTATTAATTATGGCAATAATATTACATAATCATATCATTTTATGGTATAATTCCCTTCTTTACTAATTTAAACCTTTTCAGAAGACAAACCCCTACCTTTGAAGAAGTTCTTCCTGTCTGAAGAAGTTGTCCTTTTAATTCTTTAAACCAGATGTCTTCTCAGCATTGCCCTGTGAGTCGAAGAGTGGGGGAAATGTTAACAAGAGATTCATCATCAATCATAGCAGATTGTCAATACATTAACTTCTGTCCGACTCCCTGATGGGAAACACAATTACCAGGGGAGTCCTGTAAGGAAAGACAAATTATGAATAGATTTGCCAAAACACATCTCTGCTGGTTTCAATCAAAAGTGACAGCAGAGAGGGACGCCTGGGTGGCTCAGTTGGTTAAGCAACTGCCTTCGGCTCAGGTCATGATCCTGGAGTCCCGGGATCGGTCCCGCATGGGGCTCCCTGCTCAGCAGGGAGTCTGCTTCTCCCTCTGACCCTCCCCCCCTCATGCTCTCTCTCTCTCATTCTCTCTCTCAAATAAATAAATAAATAAATAAATAAATAAATAAATAAATAAATAAATAAAAGTGACAGCAGAGAGTTGGCCTAAACTCTGGTGGCCATCCCATTCATGCAACCCAGCCGAAAGCAACATGTCTGTTTCCTTTTTTCAGTTTGGGGGATAGAGGGTTTTTTGTAATGCACCTATATGGTGTGGCTAAAATACTTTCTTGCTATGGCTCATTATTACTGTTGTTATTCTTAAAATGTTTCATTTAGTACAGAAGGAATTTTTTTGACTTTGTTTGAAAGGCCCCAAGTTCTCAGTGAGAGTCACAAAGAGACGGTGGGAGCAGCCAAGAGGAGAGGAGCCCCACCTGGCCCGTGACAAAGGCTCAGTTATGGATAATTCCAGAGTTTGACCAGCTCCAACTCCCCGCTCCTCAGCCTGAATGTTTCCTTTGCAAATATTCCAGCTGATTATTAGCCAGAAAAGGACCGGGAGTGTAACAATTGCAGCTGAGCACATTAGGTTTCATTTTTTTAGACAACCAATTCAGTGACACCAAGGGTTTTCTAAGGGAGGGTTTGTGGCTTTTTGGACTTTGGATTTTTGGAAACAGAAGTCATACTGTCAGACCTCTGAAAAACCTTTCAGATTAGAGAAACAAGTGTCAATTCAGGAACTCCCGACTGCATTGAAATATTAAGACAACTATGAATTGCAAAGTGATTCCATTAATAAAATAAAAAGATGTATAATCTCAGATGTTCTTGTGTATGCGTCCGTTATAAAATATTTTCTGTATTGAATTGCAAAAAGCTTTATCTTAATGACATGCAAAACCACTCTTAATAGATTTTCATTGGATCTAATGCAATGATATTTTATTAGGACAAAAAAACTATTGTTGAGGTTAATGACTCCTCCTTGGAATTAAAACCAATTTTAGAGTAATCAAGGTCTTCTTTTCTTATTATTTAGTTCCCTCTTTAAAAAAACTCTTTTGAGGTGTGTAGGAAAGAATCTGCAAGAATCTGAAGTCATGTCTACAATAATAACTCAATCCAACAAACTTACTGAATATTTCATATATATCTATCAATACACTGGATAAATATAAATGAGGAAAAAAGTGTTAATACATGAGTGCACCTTTACAGGTAAACATTGATTAGGTCAGCATGTGGATGCTGTCTCCTCTCTCCCCCTCCACCTACCCATCCCTCCATCTTTCCACCATCTCCCTCCCCTCCCAGAAGCTTGGCTCTGCTTTTGGCTCTGCCCAGAACCTGAGGCAGGTGGCTTAGCCCCACGCCATAGGTGACATGAGAGAAAACCCCTCTCTTTTTATGTTACTGAATGTGGACCTTGGATGAGTCTTTCTCTTCACCATTGCAGTGTTAATGTCTGACACCGGTTTGGGCCTCAGGGACTCAGACCCTGCCTAAAGGAGTACTTTGCTACCAGGTCATTCAAGCCAGCTTCACTCTGGGGAAAGGAGTCTGTCACCTCTGCTAGCCCAGTGTACTAGAGCTCTGCACTGGGACTCAAGACCAAAGCCTCACCTAATAATATGTTGTTACTTTGTCTTGCTTTGTCAGTGTCCACACTACAAGTATTTACTTTGGGAACCTCAAACGCAGAGCAGAATGTAGCATTCCTGGGTTGCTGGTCAAAACACACCACCATCCTTCACCTCCAAATAATTAAGGTAAGGCAAATTTGCAACTCAAAAGGGTAGCCTGCTCCTTCCTTCTTAAAGTCTCTTCTAAGACAAGTTTTTGTGTGTGGAAAAATCCACAGAAACAGGAAGTGGTTCAGTTCGCTGAGCCACGCCCAAAGGGAATCTTCACCCCAACTGTTTTGGTACCCTCATCGTGTCTGTGGCATCTACACCACACTGCTGTGGAGCTATTGCTAAAAATCTACATCACAGGTAGTCGGAGGCTACAGCTAAATATTGAGAAGAGCATCAACTAAAGACACACATCAACAGAATTAATTTCACCATAATTTTTACCTGGAGGAGAAAGAGAACTCACATTTTGCGGGCTACTACCATGTCCCAGACCTGGTGTATGGATGGCAGGTGATGCACCAACTCTGTAAGTATCACTATTGCTTTGACACAGAGGCAGAAACTGAAGCACGGAGAGGTTACGTAAATGACCCAACTCGCACAACTCCCAGGTAATACATCTGGAGTATAATTCTGCTTCTGTCTGAATCCAAAAATGTGTGCCTCTCCTACCTCCTCCCATGGCTTTTGAGAGAAGCCAGGATGAACCTGGAGTGGGGGTGCTGCCGAGATTTACGGGAAGGGCAGTAGAAGTGGAGCTGTTGGAAGGAGTGGCCACACTGATGGGAAGCGTGGAGGAAGCCAAGAGGAGTAGGGTCGGGGAGGCAGGAGGGTGGGCCACAAGGTTGAAACCTGCAGGGAGGGTGCACGCAAATGGGGGAACTCAGCGGCTATCAGCAGGAAGCCCCCAAAGCCCCAGCTGGTGCCACCACCTCCCGGGGACCACAGTTTCCAAGTGTCAGTGACACCTCCCACACTATCATTCCTCTGCCCTTCTGCCAAGCATGCCCTTTATTAATAACATTTCATGGAAGAGGCAGGTCTGAAAATACTACTGGGTATGGTGTGGAAGAAGATGTTCTTGAACATAAATTTTATTTTTTTATTTCAATTCAATTAATTAACATATAATGTATTATTGGTTTCAGGGGTACAGGTCTGTGATTCATCAGTCTTATATAACACCCAGTGATCATTACATCACATACCCTCCTCAATGTCCATCACCCAGTTACCCCATCCCTCCACCCTGCTCCCCTCCAGCCTTGAACATACATTTTAAAGAGAAGTCAAAGGAATGTGGTTCTTTTGATAAGCTTGAATCATTTTTAGTATAACTGAATTCAGGGCAAAATGCCCTGAAAAGAACACACATGTAATTTTGTATAGGTGGGGTTTCCCATAAACATTATGTGGGAAAACTATTTTATCTTTGCTTATATATATTATTGATAGCGCACGGCCTCATTTTTAACTTCCTTGTGATGACTGAAACCCCTGAGCCTTTGCAAAGACCACCAAAAGACTACGTATTAATTGTATTACTATGTCAGCAATTATGCCAAACATTTCTAGGGAATGAATTTTTGTTACATTCATTACTCTTGCTTTGACAACTGTGTCAATGGGCTTTCATCACTCTGAAACACATTTAGGTTGACAAAACGGGGTAATACATCATTGCTAAGGATTATTTTTCCAATAACAAAGTAACAATTCAATTTTTTTAAACCAAAATACAATCAACTTATCCTATTAAACAAAACCAGTCCTAAGCCAAAAGGTCAAGATGAGATCTGATGTAATTTAAAAGTAGCCTTCAGAAAAGATAAATAACATCTAGGAAAAAAAAAAAAAAAGAAACCCAAAGGCCATGGTACACACGATAAACCAATTACAATAAAAGTAATTCAATGGTGCATAAGTATGGCCTTAAAAAAATTCAATAATTCAAGAAAGTGAATGCTTGCCTTACCCATGGAAAAATAAAATAATGGGGCGCCTGGGTGGCTCAGTTGGTTAAGCAACTGCCTTCGGCTCAGGTCATGATCCTGGAGTCCCAGGATCGAGTCCCGTATCAGGCTCCCTGCTCGGCAGGGAGTCTGCTTCTCCCTCTGACCCTCCTCCCTCTCATGCTCTCTGTATCTCATTCTCTCTGTCTCAAATAAATAAATAAAATCTTTAAAAAAAAAAAAAGAAAAAGAAAATAATGAATTTCCTAATTGCTCCAAAGGAAATTGAACTATTAACTGGCACGAATTTTTTTGCAGGATTTTGTTTTGTTTTGTTTGGTCTGGTTTGGTTGAAAATGGGAACCTGTAACATTCAATGCAACTGAAAATCTGTTATTGCAAACATTACCAGGTAAAAAGTAACAGCAAGCAAAAACACTCAAAACCTCATTTGGTTTATACTCTCCGGCACAATCATGAGGACATTAAAAATGCTAATATTACTCTTTGGTTTGGGCAAGGTAGATTTCTAAAAGCTGGCTTTATTGGAGATATGCATTATATCAAGCATTTGACCCTTCAATCCAATTCTGTTTTCAACTGTGACAATTTTATTTCCTGTTTACACTCTTAAAAAATCAATACAGCTGAGAAATACTTTTTAGGACATCAATTTTGAAAACCTTACATGTAACAATATAGTCATACACCTGCACTATTATGTTTATGTAGCATGCAAAATTTAGCATTATGAAATGATGGTAATTTACAAACTTATTTTTCATCTTGGTCTTTAACAAAACTTCGGTAGTATGAAAATCATGGACTAACCCCCCCAAACTCTTTTTTTTTTTTCTTAACTTCCTGCCTTTGACATGATCCTTTGACTGAATTTGGGGTCCATTCATACTTATTAACTGGAGAGAAAAGGATAAACAAACAACCCTATTAGAATTGGCATTTCTCTTTGGTTTCTCTGGGCATGCCTGTCATCCAGCAGCCCAATTCAGCTTGGCAGGGCAAAAAGCCAAAATCATCTTGAAACCCAGTTCTCGGCATTTCAGCAACCTATGAAACAAAATACATTCCAAAAAACAGAGAGCATGGTCTGGAATAAAGCAGGTTCAACTAGTACCTCAGT